CTCCTCTGCTTCTTTCAACTGCTTTCTCAGCTTTCTGTTTGATACAAAGAGTTCGTTTTCAAATACTAAGTACTTTTCTTTTTTTTTTCAAACGTCAAAAGCGCTGCCAGGAAATACTTGTGAAACATTTTGAATTACGGTCTTTATTTCCAAATCGGGTAAACTTGATTGGGTAACCTAAACTTTCGCTTACCTTTTGTAATCCTTTTTCTCTTTTCCCTTCGACTTATAAGAACTCCAAGCTAGTCCCATTTTAACTGTTCAGGTTGAACTTCTCAAACAAAATTGAAGAGCTCAGTTTAAAAGAGACGGCTTCTCTGTTTGCGAATGAAGTGTTTTGCATTGTGACATAACAAAGAAGAGGAAAATGCGCGCGCTGTAATAAGCCAATCAGATTCAGCTACTCAAGCGCAAGTAACACGGTGAACAGTGAGCATACTTTCCTGAGGTACATAAGTAATGAATAACATCAAAAAAGAAAGGTAAACGATTCCTGAGCAATTAATACAAATGCGCAAGAAAAACGAATGGACATAAAAGAACGTTGGATTGCTAAGATTGCGAAGATGTCGTAATCGTTCTAGCGCGTGCAATGTTCGCGGATGGCGCATCTTCAAAAATTTCAAGTTTTTCAAGTTTTTCATTCGATAGTTAGTGATTTCTACGGAACTGTTTACAAGGAAGAGTACACGTCAGTGTTAAATTACTACGTGATTGTTTTTTATCAGTATAGGTCACTTTTGAAACTCTGTGCCTAATAACTTTAAAAAGAGTCTTTAGAATTAACTGAAATTGAAGAATTTAAGTTATTTTAATTGTATAACGTCTTTGACAATATCCGAACATACAAATTATCTGTCCTAAATGCAACCGCACTAATACTGGTCGTGCTCCTGCTGATCTTTATTTTTTGTTAATTAATTCTTTTGTGGGTTGGGTGCGGGTTTAAGTTTTAACTTCGGGTGGGTTAGGTAGTTAGGTCTTGTAGCAGGCTTGTAGTGGACTTCTGTGCTTTTGTTTAGATAGATAGACAGAGTGACAGACAGATAGACAGGGTGACAGACAAACAGACTAACAGAGTGACAGACACAGACCGAATGAGCGACAGACAGATAGACAGAGTGACAGACAGACAGATAGACAGAGTGACAGACACACAGATAGACAGAATGACAGACAGACGAACAAACAAACCTGCGATCAGACATTCTTTTTACTAAGATAGACCCTTGCGCAACTGCGGACAAAAAAGAACGTGTTATCGCAGATCACAAAAATTGACAAAGCACTCAGTGTGTATTGGACCTTGGGCTATTACAAATGACGAAGCATATTTTTGATTCATTCACGACCTCATTGACATATTATCTTTGAGTTATCTAGTATTCCTGCCCCTGGACTTGCGCTAATTTGATCGTTACGATTTTTATGGCAACGGTTTTTCCTTCTTTTCGAACAAGCAAACTAGGGTTTAAGGTCATTCCACTGAAACAGAACCTGCACTGATATTTTTGTGAAACTTTGCCTATTGATTGTTTA